AGGTAATTAGGTATTACGCAGTAGTAAGTGTTGTATAGTAATATTCGCGACACACATTTGTGAAAGAAAATTAATATATAATTTATATCGTAATTTATTATTAATTAATATATTTATAAAAAAAAAAAAAAAATGTGTGTAATAAATCAGCTAATCGAGCGAGAATGTACAACGACCAAATACATGAGTACAATAATTGATATTGTTGTGTATATTGATTAGAGGTACCCGTGGGATTATAGTAGCATATTTAGTATTATTGATAAAATACAATTAATTGATTACATTTAAGGAATGAATATTGTACTAGTTTTACAAAAATGTGTTATGTGTGTTCTCCTTTTTTCTATTTTTTGTCTTAAGGAGCAGAAAAACTGCTTCAATATATAATTATTCTGAAAAAGCTTTCTGATATCAAATTTAAGTTATTTTAAGGGCTCAAATTTATAAATTGTACAGTATTTATTAAAATAAGAAATTACAAAAAAAAATTAAAGTAAATTTGTTGCTCGTAGATATTTATGCAAAATCAGTTTTGGATTAAATTGATTAAGTATTTTGTTCAAATTCAAAAACAAATAACCTTGTAAAGACTTGATATTTTCATTAAATATTTATATATTAGCATATTCTGGACATCGTATAATATTAAAATTATATTAGCCTCTTTGTATCAAAAATAAACATAATTTTTTTCTACAAGCGTTTGACTTTCAAATTATGATTGCTAAATTTTTCCAAATTGAAAATAATTTTGAAGACATGTGTAGGCTGTTGGCTAAAACGTAGTAATAATAATAATATACAATCATAAACTACGTTGTAAATAATTCTATTTAAAATCACAAATGAAAACAATCGCACATAAAGACATATCATTAGTAACTACTCAGTATAGATTACAAGACCACAACAGCTAGGTTTCGACCGAAGTTTTTCCAAGACATCGACTTTACTTTTTATACACAAATTATGAGAATACAACATTTAAATTTTACTTTGCAAGCGTTTTAGTCAACAAAGTAGTTTCTAAATGAACACTTTAATCATTACATTATAATTATTTTAAAGAGTAATGAATTGTGTTTTGAAATTCTAAAATAATGTAAGATACGTACGTATATGTGAATTCCTAGCGTATTATTTTGCTTTAGTTTTTTTTTTTTTTTTTTTTGACACTCATCTTTTGGGGTGGTCAAATAACTAAATCGAATTTTGATTTATAAATGCCAACTCATTAAATATTTACATATAATTTTAGATTCATATTTAGAAGCAGATAAACGTTTCCGTTAAAATATCAAAAATTGACTGTGATGGTTTCAGTAATAAAACACCATAGTGGAAATAAGAATATTACCACCCAGATCGCGTGCAGTATTTCAATTGTTTACCGATGAGAACATTTCTGAAAAAGTTAAAATTCACTGTTCTAAACTAATTCGACGGTGTCCATTGTTTATTTGATATCATATTATCAAAACAGTCACTGCGAACAAAACCAGCAATCGCTGTTTACTTAAATCGGACTTGCGGTGCTATTGATTCTCGATGCATGGGGATAGGCTGTGATTGGGGGGGTGTTTGAATGTGTTCAAAACCTCCCGCCAAAATTAAAATATTGGTATCTTCTTTTTATGTCATTAATTGTCGTATTTTGTGCGGTAAGACTTAAGCTACTTATAGGTACCTAACTATGATGTTATTAGCTCGACGATATTTCGTTTGGCAAAACTGTATCGCGTGGTGTCGACAACAACTTGCGGACCGTGCGTAACAGCAAATACGATCAAACGATATTATGCGCTTGCCATATTATTATATAATTAAAACATTAAAAACAATAATAATAATATATAGCCAATATAGGTAGTGTAACGATTGCCCGTAATTATTGCAGATAAGCCGCAATAATAAAAACGACGACGACGAATAGTGTTATGTCAACAATAACAGCATCATTATGCGACTGCCGCCGCACAGTTTATACTCACCTGTATGGCTGTATATTTACTGCTACCAATCGTGAAAAATATTGTGAGCATAATGGCTTTGTAATTGTTATTTGATTTCCATGATATCGCGGCAATAGTAACGACGATGTTGTTGTAATACTGTAGATTACCTGCAATTATGGGACGTCAACTACAAAACGTCTTTAATATCGTAATCGTATCGAAACGTCGACGATCGCGGGCAGAACTGTACAGCGCGCGTGCCACGGATTCCGTGCTGACATCGTATTATCGACGACGGTCCCTTGATCGCGGCAAAACCGGTCGCCCGTACACGGCCGGCGTCGCGAGCGTCTCGTTTTCACACACACACACACTCGCCTCCATAGCGATTTACCACACTACAGCAACAGCTACTGTTGAGTAACCGTGTTCAGTGTCGTCATCGTTACCACTGTAGCAAAAAGTCCGACGGCGGCGGAGTCCGAAAAGCGACCGCGATCCACCGGATTTGTCGATGGTCGTCGCGTTTCCAAAATAATATCATTTCGCACCGCAACGATTCCATGTCCGCTCAGGTGAGAGGAGCGTCTTTCGACGATCTGATAATATGATTAACGCGATGTATATCGATAATGTCGTCGTGACATAACGTCGAAATCCAGGTAGAATATCATAGAACTATCAGGCACCTTGGCAAGGAACGTGTGCCGTGTGCGTATCGTTAGTATAAACCGTTTGACCTTTGTGTTAAAATAAAATACGTTTTCGTTTCGTCGTCAACAGCTGCTGCGGGTGGCTTAGCTTCACTGCACGCACGATCGTCACTCGTCATCGTTTCCGTTCAATACAAGTTTAACGTGTGTGCGTAATACCACGTACTCGTACACTTGTGCACTCAGTGTACGACAACAGTAAGTATATTAAGTATATTATATTTTGAATGTTGACACTACTAGAGGTGGCTTACCTACTATAGCCGAGTAGAAAATTATAACGATTTTACGAATTGTATGTATCCGTGCATAAAGTCGTTCCGGGTTGAGAATATATGAGTGTGTCTATGTATATATTTTTTTAAGAACAGCATTTTTTTTGTTTAGTTAGGTTGGGTCTAAACCAAACGTTTAGATTTATATGTATTATTATTATTATTATTATTATTATTTACCGATCGTTATTCTAATTTATTATCAACTGACAACTGTTATATTATGCAATTTTTATTTAATATTGGCTTGAGGAACGAATCTTATTGAGTGCTTTAGTAATGGTTATTCATTGAAAGAGAACAGCCATATTATAGAGGTGTGTACTGGTTAGGCGACCCGAGAGATATTGGTTAATTTAAATTTTAAACATAAAAATAGGTACTCTACAATAATTGAAAAGAATATATTGTATTTTGACAAAGTTTATATTCTGTGTATTCAGTGTGTAGATAATATTATACTGTAGTATAATATATTACTCTATAATAGTGTTCTATACAAACACCGTATAATATGCTAGAACAGTGGAAGTTGAAGTTTGTACCTATAGATACGCGTTATTTTAATGACTTTTACAAATAAAAACATGTGTTTTGACAAATATAATAAATTTATTTATTCGAGATTATAAATACTATACTGAGTATGCATAACAAATATCTTATTTATCGTTTTTTTCATGATGACATTTTAATTAATTGAAAGTAATTGTCTTTGGAAAATAGTTAACTTTCATTTTAAATGTTTTCTCTTGATTACTTTATTAGATTTTAGCTAAATTCTATGTAGGGTGGGTACATTTCTGTTTTAATATACATTGAGAAAATCAAATAAATCCGAGTAAAGAGTGTATAATGTATAATGTTGATCATAATTGAGTGCTCGAGTACAGTTTAAAATCGATTTTGTCTTATTAGTTATAACTAACACATTCGGATGCACTAAATAGATCTAAATAATCTATGGCTAAGATCCTACGAACGGATTTATTACCATTTCGTCACCATCGTGAAAATCATTAATATTTTTAAATTTTTTATAGAATTGTGTGATTGTACATATAAGTTTAAGTAGATTACCACTTTTCTTCAAACTTTTCATATGCCGATAGGTACTATTGTAAATATAGCTATAATATTTTATAGTAAATAGTAAATTAAATATACTGTATCTTTAGTTTACTTCGGGGAATAAGGCTACTGGCTAGATTAGTAAATAGTGATTAGATATGAGTAAATTATTATAATTTAATAAGTATAGAACATTGAATTTTTTGTAATTTTTAACAGTCGGTTAGCATCCATATCTGTTAAACGGAAAAAAATAAAATGGAAGCTGATATAATGAAAAAATAAAAAAATATGTATAATAAATGGTAATAAATTTAATTTCAATAAGTTTTTAAATAATAATACTCAAAGATGGACATGCACCAAATGAATGTCTAAATTGTATTTTAAATTATAAATGTGTGAACTCGAAAAAAAATAAGCAATAAATTAAAATGTGTGGCTGTGTACGATCCGTGTGAAAAGACGTGTAAAATTTTACACTGTAAAAGAGAACATTATATATTATGATAGTTGACTATTTGTTGACTCCATTTGCAAAAGAAAAATTATTCGCAATGTACGTTCTAGTATGATTCCATAAAAGTTGCATGAGAATTTATTTCGAAAAATTTCATTTGGTTTTGTTAAACTTCAGTGAAATTTTAAAAAAATCGTATTTTTATTATTATTATTATTTTTTTTTCTGATCCGCTAAATCGGACCGATCTACCGATCTAACTTGGCTAGTCGGTTGACTAACCGCACGCAATCGGACCTAGATAATGATTTTCACACGGAGTTCGGAAACATCAAGACGAATAAGATCAAACGTTCATCAAAAAAATATCACAAAAATACGAGGAGTGCGTGCACACGATATCCGTTTACTATATCATTACAACAACGCGTATCGTGTGTTCGAAGTTCGAACCGCCGCGTGCACACGACACAAACTGCACGTTGCACCGGCCGCGGTTAAGCGTCGCAGTAAATAGACTTACCGTCGTTGCCGCCAAGTACATCTCGTTCGCGTACTTTTCCGTGCCGGGCCACTTGGACTGCACTTCCAGTTTTCGGTGCAGGGCCTTCCAGTAGCCCATCGCCGGGACCGCGTTGGACGTCTGAAACCGGCGTTGTCTGCGGCCGGTCGCGGTCGGTTGGCCGTCTTGCTGCCGCGTCCACGTCCTGCGGGGCAACACGCCGCCGCCGCCGCCGCCGCCGGCGGCGGTGGCCAAAAAGTGCAGGTAGTCCGGCCGGTCGTCGGTCTGTCGCCACTGCTGCAGTCGGTGGCCGGCGCCGAACACCGCGTGCCGTTGCAGACCGGCCGCGAGGGCCGCGTTGAGCAGCGCGGCCAGCACGTAATAGTGCATAGCGCCGCGGAAATATAATATTATGATATTATATCGGACGGTACGCACCTACCCACTGAGTATATAAACACCGAGTTAACACGTTTCGGTCGATCGTTTGCAGATGATACCTATATAGATCACGCGTAGAGCGGTATTCCGGAATAGGGATCGACGTCGAATATATCTTATGCGCACGACTGCACTTCGGAAAGGACGTGAACAGTTTTATTATACTGTTGTTGTGTTGTTTGAACGCGTATAAAGTTATTCGTGAGGCGCGGACGAGGTACTGTGTATCGTGCTTTTACGGTAACGGCAGAATCGACCCGTGCTGACGGTAGTGGCGGTGGTGCTGGTCCTGTCGTTGGCGGTTGCCGAAACTCGTCCGCGACGAACAGAACGTCATTTTCGTCCGCCTGGCAACGCGTCGTCCGAACGTCGTCGTTTGGCGATCGGCGCGCGAATCGGTCGAAGGCGGTCGGCGAACTGCAGCGGCGCGGACCCGACGAACGAATAACAGCGGATCCCGGCGAACGCGTCTATATAAAAGGACCGCGATAATGTTGCTGTAGGTATAGCCACTGTCGACGGAGATACACGATATTATTGATATATATATATATATCAACATATAATAATAATAATAATAATAATAATATGTAAGTAGTGGTTTTGCGGCTGACGCGTTCCGCCACCGCTCCGGCCGCCGCTTCGACCTTGCGCCGCGGCCCAGCGTATATCCCACTACGCGTAAACAGCGACGCGGCGCAGCAGCAGCAGAGACTCGTGCGAGGTTAGGTACACATAATAATACACTATTTTTCGATCGTAACACCAAATTTTGTCGCCGGACCGACTATCTCCTGCAGCGGCACCGTTTGCACGTCGATAAATCATAATAGGCATAATACTAATGACGATTTGGCAAATGACTGCGCAACGTCTCGCATTACATATTATCGTTTATTATTATTGTATATAGTCGGTGTACGTTATTATGATACGGACGATACGCATATATCGACGGCGACCGCCACTGTTGCGCATCCTTTCACCATATAGGTTTGCCGACGACGTCGGCGCTTACAAAACACGAATACCATAATATACAATAAACGTAATATATTTAAGTAACGCGTGTGCGCTCCCTCTCGTTCTTCTTTCTCTCTCGGACACACGCATACGCACACACGATCGCTCTTTCTCTTTCGCCGCGAGACCGTGTCTTCGTCTTCGCCGCCGTCGTCGTTTCGTACGTAATATAATATTACGTTTGATACGTTATGTGCGCCGTAGAAGATGGTACTATTATAATCTACACGCGGCCTTACGGTATACCACCCATTATAACACTACGAAAAAATACTAGTTTTCACGGCACAGTGGGTGAGGCCAAGTCGAGTATGCATATGGAGATACGTTACGTAGGTGTCGGCGAAAAGTATATCGTGGTGGTGGTCGGGTGGCAATAAACCGCCGTGCGAGTTTAAGAACACTGATTATCACTTATCCGAATCCCGCGACGACGCGTGAGACCGTGTGCAGATCTCTCGCCATTCGTCCTAGTTTCAAATAACCGCGGTATATTGTTGCTTCGAAATCGATCTTCCGTCCGAATATCGCTGTAAAACATAATATTTATAAACCTTTATTTTTTATTATGATTACGATGATAAAAACGATTCAATTGGGCGATTCACGTGCAAGCTCGTACTCGCGCCAGTCTTCACGTCTTTTTTTTTGTAAATATATTAAAATCCTGATTTTTGGAACACTTGAATATACGTCTTAAAGATAATGATTTAAATTTTTTGAAATTTGCTGTGATATACTAGAGAAGTCTTCTGTAGCGATAATAACTTCTATCTTTTAAATGTGAACTTTCCTCTAACGTTAAATTATTTAGCAGATAATTTTTTTTCGTCTGTGCGCTTTATTTACAATTTTTTCGAGTAATTTTTAAGTTAATTAAATGTTTATACTATAAGGATAAAACGGGTTATTTAAAAAATCCTGGATCTATATTATTTATTATACTTGGATCATTTTTACGAATTATAAATTTTTAATATTAATTATTATAACTGTTAATAAATCTTAACTTCCATATCATTCAAACTTATTATCACGGAGCTATTTTGATTTTGAAAGTCAACATTTAAAAAAAAAAAATTATCCACTAAATAATTCAATGTAGACGGAGGGGCGGGGGATTCTCATATAAAAACAGAAGTTTAAATCTTCACAAGACCTTCTTTAAATAGTACAACAAATTTAAAGAATTTGAAAACAACGTCTTAAAATAATATTTAAAAGTTTCAAAAATTAAATCTTAAACAACTCTTGTACCTATTGAAAAAAAATAAAGACGGTCAACATGCTTGGTAAATCTCTCTGTATAGATTTTAGCCATTATTCACTGCGTATATTGCAGTCTATTGATCACAACAAAGACGACTTTCATGAATTTCTATAACATACATAATGCATTAATATAGTATTAAAACATTATATACACAGACATGTATATTTTATGAGTTTTACAACTAAATCTTATCGTAATATTGAACTACGACGTCGTTTCGCAGTTTGTGTCATCAATCATCATAGTATGACCCGTTGCAGTAGATAATTTAATTATTTGTTTAATAGGGACATACTAAATATTTATATTTATGTTAGTATATGTTAGATTATGTTTGTATATGAATATTATGTAACAGCTCTATGACCCTTAAATATTTTAAAAATTCGAATTTTAGAAATCTCAGTAAGCAACGTTTTTAATGATGTTAAACAACTGCTATGTAATATTTAAATTTAGAAATAGGAATTGAAAATCTTTGATCTCTATATATGCACAGACATCATATTATTAAGTACCTATGCATATTAAAGGACCATCCAACTCAAAAAATCAATAATTATTTTTTTACTCTAATAAATAGAATAGAGTCTAACTAAGATAATGATACAACTAAAATTCGTTTGTGACTATTCGTTCGCTAGTTACTGTGACTTATGACATTGCGCGTGACGTCACGGATTCGTCCGCCGAGGCGGCGGCCATATATAATACACGGCAATATTTATCCATTTTTGGTTTAACATAAAATAACTGCTTATGAACTTATTTTTTTTTCGAATGAACTAATCAAATGTATTCAAGAGTACCTCATAATCTTTCCATTCGTAAAATTATATCACATTTTGGTTTAATAGTGTAGACAAAAATAACACTTAAATAAATTATATTATGAATTTACCATACTGCTGCTGCAGTAAACGTGTGTAATATTGTTTTGACGATCGTGACATCGTGTACGGATTTCTGACGCCTAAACTGTCTATATTGTTTTAACTCGTAGCTAATATTAGAGATGGGTGAGGGCTTAAAAAATATATAATTTACATATAATAGAATATTATATCGTGTAACTAGAAAGGACCGCATTCACATTTCACACTGACACTGTACTTACTATTTATAACTTTAATACGACGATAAGACTATATTGTTATGAAAAATAAACATCGATAAAATCGTATATAATTATAAATAAAATCGTAGCAGTACTCATATGAGTAATTAGTGACAATTGACACTATAATATGACAGTGGTGTATTATAATATAATTGCTATTATTTCATTAATATTAAACCAAAATTCAATACAATTATACGAATAGAAAGATTATGAGGTACTCTTAAATACATTTGGTTAGGTTATTCGAAAAAAATATAAGTTTATTAGCAGTTACTTTACGTTAAACCAAAAACGGATAAACATTGCTGTGTATTGTATATGGCCGCCGCCGCGACGAACGAATCCGTGACGTCACGCGCAATGCACGCGCAATCGCTTAACTAGCGAACGGACAGTCACAAACGAATTTTAGTGGTATCATTTTTTTCGTCAAAGTTTGTACTTTAATTTAAGCCTGAGAAAATTTTTTGAGTTGGATGGTCCTTTAAAGTAAAGTACTAAAGTATATATTTAAACATTTTTAATCGTTTGATAATATAATGTTCATACTGGCCTAAAGCTAGGCAGATTGCCTCTAGAAATGAATTATTTACTAAATGTGATTTAAATAAATAATAATAACAAAAATGTATTTAATTTATACCAGTTTTATAAACAACGGACATTCTTAAGAACTCACAGAAATATAACAACATTTTGAGATAAGTAATTATACCTTTATGCATGAAATATAATTTAGAATTTCTTAAATATTTTGTTAAGAACAATATGGCCTTGAGACTTGAAAAAATGTATGTCAAAATAAAAATGTATTCCTCTAGTAATTCTTAAAATTTGCTTGTTATTATGATTATATTAATTAAGAGACTCAATTGGTAATTTTACTGATACTTTCGGAAAAATAAATTATACAAATGAATACTGAATAGTTATAAATATATCATAACATATTTATATTGGTCATGTAGTGATTGTAATTTGCAGTTATCATTATTTTATGTGTAATATTTTATTTTATTTATGTTATAGTAATTTAAGTAACTATACTCATATGTTATTATACAATGACGAATTTTGTGAACACAGCATTTAAATTTTAAAAATACAAAGTAAAATATTATATTTTGCTTATAATTGTATGCTATTATAAGTATCAATACGTCATTAATAAATTATGTGCATGTTACCTGATGAGTTATAATTTATTTTCTTTCATGATAATAATAATTATATTGTATAGTATTATTAAATGGTATTAAATATAGGTAGTTTTGATGATTTTATGACAAAAGAAAAATATAAATATTTGAATTATATTATAATCTTAATTATAGAAATAAATATAGTGTATGGTTAAATTAATATACAAATATTCCTAGAATTGCTATGATTGTATCATAACATTATAATTTATAACGTATTTTATTTTTTTAGAAAATTCAATTCATCAAACGTAAGTGGAAATCAAATTGAACCAATGCAAGTAATAAAAATTTAAAGTAAATTTCAAAAAAATATAATATTAAAGAAAAATTCACGTTAAACAAGTATGATGATAAAAAATATTATGGAAGTGAAATAGAGTTTTGAGTATAAGTAAACGTTGTTATGCTCAATTTTAAAATAGAAATAACGTTTTAATTATACGTTATAGATTTTTATTATATGTTTTAGTAATATTTTACACTTGGTAATTGCTTTTACGTTCATTTATATTTTTTAACTGCACAGTTTGTATAGTACACAATATATTATATAACCATGAAAGTTAAGTTATTGTCATAAAGATCAAAATTTATACTACCTTTTTTGTTTATTTGTACATCATTTAGTTAAACAAAAAACATCCGGTTTAGATAGTTGTATCGCATCAATACAATTGTCCATAATGTTAGTCTGTAATACATTATAAAATTTAATATTGAGTATCTATGATGGTAAAATAACACATTAATTTCCAATAATTCATGAATTATTATTATAATTTCAAAGCCATGTTATTTTTTTTGTAACTATTATATCGCTTGACAAAGAGAAGTAACTTATAAATAGGCCAAAAACTGTAATTGGCTAATTTAATTACTTAAGCATGCGATT